AGTTTTGTGAGAAATAAATAGAAATATACACGTCTGTTCAAGTAGGTGATTCTGTGTATGAAATATTCACAACTTCCTTAATTTTATATATATTTATATTTGAACAGCGCCACGTACGGATGCAGAAACTAAATAAGAGTAAATTGATATTTTCGTAAAGTGAACCATGTCATCTGGATCCCCAAACTCTTCCTCTATCCTTCCATCTAGATATTTGTGGAAACTGTAATGGTTATGGAATGATATTTCTGCCAAATATGCACAAACGTGATCTGTACAGGTATAGGTATACGTAATGATGACTTTTCAAAGATCTATTTTAATAATCACGGCAAGCGGAACCTGTATTCTAGTTAATTAGATTCATAAAATACATTTAAATGACAATTGCGCAATGTTCATACTATAATGTTATTAAGAACTTCTATTTCCGTTTTGCGCAAAAAATTTGCAAAATTAGACCCGAACGTATCTGTAAATCACTTTGGCGACCTGAATTTGGCTTGGTCATAGAGCGACCGACAGTCACCAGTAATTCTTGTCGAACGAATTATTTATCGGTACACTAAATTTTATATTTATTTTTATATCTCCCATAAATATATCGGATCCAATTCTCCAGTGCTAATAATATTAACAACGCAATATGTTGAAATTTCTTCAGCAATTCACCTGCTTTCTCTTAGGATACTATTGTAAGAATCGTGAAATTATGGTACAGTACAGTTCTATTTGCTCTTAGTCGAGAACTTTTTACGAAGATTGTCGAAATACCTAATTTAACATGACTGGTAATTTTGTCATTAATATACACCGTAAATTATTGCTGTACAATTTTCGTTGCCAAATTTTATATGGAATGTGTATTTAACATTTAATAATATCAAGTGTTTCGAATGCTTTATTCAATTTTATGTGTATTTAAAGTGTATTCAATTTAAAGTGTAGAAAGAATGTTCAATACAGGGTGTCTCACGCAACCGGAACAGGTTGTACCTCCTAAACGGTTGGGAGTAGAAAAAGATGTCATAAGTTAAATGGTAACCGATAGTTCATAACATGCGACTAATTTTATGCACTTTTGTGCATCGGTGCATCAGAAAAATGCTACTGTACTTCTTTTAAAAATGGAAATCATATATTTTTGACGCCACAGATCGATGCAGTTTCCTGTGCTCTACATAAAAGTATTAACTGTAGGATGGTTGAGCGGGAAACCCAATTTGTAATAAAAGAAGTTTTATTCAATATGTGTGGTCTGTAAGGAGTCCGGGCTGACATTGGACTCCTTAGAGACCACTCATATTGAATAAATCTTTTTTTTATTATAAATTATGTTTTCCTCTCAACCATCCTACATAACATACTTGTGCCTTAAACATCTGTAGTAGGCACACCCGCGAGACCCACGGCGATATTATCCATCGCGTAATAAGGAAGTCCGCGTAGGTCGGAGCTTTCGATGGCAGATTACAAGATTCCGCGTAGAACGACTGAAAATCGGTTTGCAGATTCGTTGAGCTTCCACTCGGTTCTGTGGCATGTGGCAGGCGGTGGTCTGAAACCTATGCAAACCCGTTCGAAACTATGTAAAGCAATGCTAATCCGTCGATAAAACCCTCACCGACGAGCGAACCACCCTCACGTTACCGCCGTTGCGTCGTTCCTACACACACGGATCATAGATGCCTTGCGTGTGTTAGGGTGCACCGCAATGCAGCCTCGGCTCTAGCTGGTCTGACGTATTTTCCAGTAATCCTCGGACCCCGACGGTAACTCTATTAGATTCCTGCGAAAGGTTTACTCCCCTCCAAGCATCGCCCGGATCACTGCTTTCGCTAATACGTTAGCGGCTTGTACACGCGCCAACGTAATCGCCGTCCACAGATTTGCCTGGCAACCGTCATCTTTTCGTGCAGACTGAGGCCATCTCTGTATCGTAAACGGGTAAGAAGATGTGCAAGGGACGATTGCTGGAAGAATCGTATCCAAACGAATACTTCGAAACTCTCGTTTTGTTGAGAGGAATAAACGACGTGGCGACGGCGAAGGCGTGAATGAATTAAGGGGATAGGGTACTCTAAAAGTTTGAAAAACTGTCTTTTTTTTTCAAATTTAACATGTGTAGCTTGTTTGCCCTCTAACAGAAATTATGCACACTTCTCTCGATGTAAGCACAAACGTTTCGGGGTGTGAATTATATTCAACAAGTTATCTGCGATAATACATGAATAAATGATTATTATCTACTTGTTTAAATCATTTACAAAACTTTTGTCATTATCATACGAAATTATTCCTTCTCCATAAATGTTATTCATTCATTCGTAACATAAATTACAATCGAATTCGAATCGTTAATAATGCAAATATACATTTATGACTTCTTTTGGATTTTAAAGGACTTTAATAACGATGCTTAAAACATTTTGATCGTCTAGTTACCTTTCAACAGACAAATATAGCAGAAGTATACTTAATTAATGAAATTTCATTTCTCGCGTTTCAAACCTAATAATCGTCATCGATCTGGCGAACTTTACTTTCATCTGCGACGCGTAAAAGGAAGACACAGCGATGGGAGCGTTGGCGCGATAAAAAATTAACTTCTTAATTTCACAGACAGTCAAAGTTTATTAGAGGAGTCCGTGAATTTCAGTGCAGCGCGTCTCTTTTAATTAAACGGTTAAAAGTTTCTCACCGGGAATTCCTCTTGTTGCGTAACGGCGCCATTAAGATTTACAGAGGCGCGTTTAACAGACGAATATTTTCGGCGGCTTTATCTCAAGAAAAGGGAACAGGAATACCGTGGCCGCGGACCGCGACGCGGACATAGGGAAAAGTTATGAGCGCTTTAGTTGAAACATTAACGAAGGAAGCATTTAAAACTCGAGACCTCCCCGAAGTTCCTACGCGTAAACATTAAAGCCACCCGGCTAAGTGGCACCGTTACTTCTTCGCCAAGGAAGTGGCTATCCGCACCACCAGGACGAGTTCACTCTTGATTGCAGTATTTCTGCTCGACGTTTCGTCGCACAAGTGCGCCTCAAGAAAAATATCAGTCCGACTGGACGTTCAACATCCACTGCGTGAGACTCTGTTTGCTTTGGCAAAGACCACGACACCCGAAATACAGGGTCCTCCAAAAGAAGCTTTACGATATTTACTGCTAATGAATAGAGTGTTTATTTCTTTTCTGATGAAATTTTATTTTGCACGTTAGCATAGCTCGTACACAAATGTTACAGTATCCATTTGTGATGACTAGACTGCGGATCTTTATGCATTTATAGGAAATTCGAATATGCAAGAAAGTACAAAATGGAAAAAATATGCAAGAATATAAGAAAGATTGAATAAGTAAAGTTCATGTTATAATATTAAGTTCAATTTTTGTAGGCACGTTCGCGAAGATTTTATTTTCCATAAAGATCCGCAGTCTAGTAATGACGAATAGCTAAGGTTTGAGTAAAAATTTCGCTGTTTCTATTTCTTTACGTTAAAATCCGAATTTTTAGAATTTCCTTTTTAAGAATTCGCGACGACACCCGAGATACAGGGTCCTCCAAAAGAAGCTTTACGATATTTACTGCTGATGAATGTAGTGTTTATTTATTTTCTGACTAAATTTTATTTTGCACGTTAGCATAGCTCGTATACAAACGTTACAGTATCCATTTGTAATGACGAATAGCTAATGTTTGAGTAAAAATTTCGCTGTTTTTATTTGTTTACGTTAAAATCCTACTTATTAGAATTTCCTTTTTAAGAATTCGCGACGACACCCGGGATACAGTGTCCTCCGAAAAAATCTTTACAATTTTCATCGCTGATGAATAGAGTGTTTATATCTTTTCTGTTGAAATTCGTAACATTTGGCGCGTACATGGGCGATCCCCGACAGACAAAGCGCGAAGAGAGAAATGAAAGTTCATTTATATTTGTTCGCGAGTTACGTGCGGACGGCGCAGCCATTAAGTTCGTCGTTCGCGCCTAAGAAGAATGATAATGACGCTGAAAGTTCGATAATGCGATATGCAAATTTTTCCACCGTGACGGCGGTCACGTTTACCAGACACTCACGCGGAACGTATAAATTCTTTTACAGTTCGAAGGGCGTTCGCGCCTTTTATTTTTATGACTCTCGCGGATCAATCATTGGGAATGCGAACGGCACAAAGCTTTTTCTCTCATTCCATGACGAGCCATCGGAATTTAATAAAACTCTCGCTGGGTGTACGTACCTGTGCGAGAGACAGAAACCTCCATTTTAAACGCGCATCCCAACGCGCATTAAAGCGCGCTACGAACGCGTTTCGAACGATTGAAAGGTTAGTCGAATTTCAATTGATTAATCATCGAATCAATGTACGAAATATCAAGGGAACGCTAAAAGGTGTACTCGTAATTTCCAACGTAGGCAAACAGCAAAGACAAGCAAATTTTTATTGAACATGGAATTAATTTATGGAACAATGAACAATAAATGAAATCAATTGATAGTAGACAAAAAGGAAACAAAAGAAGTAATTTGATTGTTGGGTACGATTTCGTGAAACCTACCCCTCTTTTAGCTACGCTACTTTGAGAAGGAATAAGTGAGATTTAATTGATATTTAATTAATAACAAATATCGAGCTTCTGATGCTTCTTTTGATCCCTCATAAATCTTGTGCAGATTTTATTATTTTCCGTATTGTATATTTGCCAACAAAATGAAATTTGTTCGGTTCGAAACGTAAAATATCAATTATTATATCGATTTACAAAGTGAGGATTTGTGTACGTTAATACGTGTGTATTAACTGTTTTACAACTGTCTCGGCCGAAATGAACTCCGAATTATTCTAAATAACAAATCACACCGCGTTCCCACGCAACCATTGCATACACGGATACACTCAGACACTTACCCTCATATTATATGTCACACTCCTATTCATGCAACTATTTATCTTCAGGTATAAGTAATACAAACTATGATCGACTACTAGATATTTAATTTCTAATAATGGTCAACTTTTACAGCGGTTACTGAATTTTTAAAAATAGTCTCCCAATTTTTTTACGCAATTCTTGTTAAAATCTTTCTCCATTACACAATTTAAAGAGTTTAGGCGCGTCATTAGCCATTCACCGTCGTTACTTAATGATAAAGAAAGATGCTACCACTATTCATGCGATAAATTTGTCTTAACTGGTCAACAATCGCTACCGTTACCGTTTAGTATCAGACCGGAGCTTTAAACCGGCTGTCTGCCGGTGGTTCAAGAAAATGAAAAATGGTCCCGACATGACACGGCGAGCGCAATTCCTCACACGAATCTCCGCTCAGCCGATGATCGGATAATCGCAAGTTTTTTGTTTTCCTCTTTTCACGTCCCGCTCGGAAATTCGAGAGAAAACTGTCCTACTAATCGTCCCTTAACCACGGCTTCGACGTAAGAGATAAGCCGGAAATCTAAACGCGCGTAAAATCGCCCGTTGAGGGAGTTAAAGACGTGCCAGTTTAATGGATGGTTAAAGCGTGTTTCAGTTTACGTCGCGAGGATACGATAACGCCATTATGTTCACCGTTAACCTTCCAAGTATTATAGCCCCTAGGTTTAGAGTCCCTCAGGTCGTAACGTGTGTGGACCGAGTGTATAGCCTCCACCTATCTATTGTACAGGGTGATCCTACAATGACGATGGAAAACCAAGTCGAAAGTGGAGAATACAATTTTTTCCGTACGTGTCTTCGTTTTCGAGAAAATCGAGTACGAGTGTAGTAACTCTCGACTTTTTAGGCTTCCGTTTAACTTCGTGTTTGTATTTATAAACGTATGCAATGTCACGCTTGTAACGATATCCATTCGAGTGAAATGATTTCGTAGATAAGAATTACGCGTTTTCTTCTTGACAAGCGTGTCTGTTGACATAGAAATTGCTCGAAACTTCGATCATCGTACTACGTACATAATTGTGTTTATTTTTAAGTAAAGTATTGTGCACTCTTTCTGTTGCATATTTTGAATTTTGTAATTTCTCGAAGGTTAACGTTTGCTTATATATTTTTTAACACTACTGAATGAAATTCATTTTTCAACACGAAACGAATATAACACGGGCGTAAAGTGAAGCTCGTAAAATGGCCGTGCCCGCGGAGGTGAACTGCGTCGCTGGATGGAACAATGGCCGTCAAGTAAAAATTCAAAATTAATGCGCCTCTTCTTTTTCAATTGGTCGCGCGTTTCTCGCTGCCGGTCGTCCGTGAATCACCGTTCCGAGCGCGGGAAACTCCGTTCCGCGAGAGCGCGATTACAGCCGCGCTGAAATTTCGGTCGACCTCATCCGCAAACGCGTGCACTGCATTCGTTGTACTCCCTTGCGATCGAAAAAAAAAAAAAAAAAAAAAGAAATGAAGGGTCGACTTTTTGACACGTTGCGAACCGTTCGATTAAGTCCACGACGAAAATTTTATATTGACAAAAATGTAAACTAATTAAAATAACTTACACGCGATCAAAAGTGTAAAATGAAATTATTGCACGTTGTAGGAACCATTTACTAATCGCGACATCTATTATGTGTATTGTAAACTTAACGACTTCGAGGTCTTGTGTTGTCCGTTCGTGTTCTGATCTCCGAGTCATACGCTCATAGAAATAAACACGTTAAGCAATTACGTATTATGAGTTAATACGTATAATATAAACTACACTAAAATCCCTAAATAACTATCCGACACGCATGAACCACTTTCGGACTAAAATCATACGAACTATAACATAGCAACTATAAGTAAAATTTGAAATTTTTCATTTGATTTCTACACTTGGCAAAAATGCATCGATCTATCGACTCTGTCGACAATTGACACTTACGTAGGTGATTCGATCAGATTTGCAAGGTCGCGGCCTCGGAATCTGCGATGATTACTTACCTGAAACAAAAGAAACAGAATTTTATCGGTATACGTGTCTCGCGTATTCGCGGCAATTAAAACGCTTCTGGTAATACCAAGCAGTATCGCAGAAACGATTGTTAATTAGGTTTCACGATTGTGGCTCTGCACGTGCAGAGAGGTCAATGCGCGTATATCTCTCAGCGATGAGCTTCGAATAGGCGAGAAATAACGTTCATTAAAATATCGTTAGCTGGTAAGTATCGTTCGCGTCTCTACTTGGTATTGATACGAGCGTAAATAGAAAAAATTGCATTTCCCGTGATAAGCTTTCTTGAATTTGCGTTTTTGGAAGTAATAGGGTCTTAAACAATTTTATTTTTTAACAACAAAATATGCTTATCAGTGGAGTCGTGGAGGGCATTCGAACGACATTCTCTTTCACATTTAATTGCAATCATGTGCGTTCTCATTTTAACTTACGTTATTAAATTTAAATAAATTACGTTCACTTATATTATTAAATATTTTTGATTTCTTTGCCCTAGATGACTAGCACAAGTTTCGCTTATGTTATTAAATATTTCACATTTTCCGTATATAAAGCCTGTCGTTATCGGTCTAATCGACATTTTAATTTGTATTATTAATGTTGCGACCGTGGGAGCTGCCATTGCGAACGGAAGCAGTGACGCGGGCTTTATTTCGCGTAAGCCAAGTTTCTCGATATAATCCTTCCGCGCTGGTAGCATCCGCAACAACAACAAGATCGTCGAGGACCAGCGCAACGACGTCGACGTCGACGTTGGTCGTTAGTTGGCGCGCCAGTAATAGCGGACGAGTTCGAATCGTGTACCGCACATCTAAATCGATATATCTGGCGGCTTGATGTCTGCGGAGTTCCTAACTGTACGCCGTTTCAATCTGATAAATGACAGCGAAATTAATTAATTAAGACTCAAGTACGTCCGCCCTTGCTACGGAAACATAGACCAAACAGCTGCGATAACGAGTACCCTCGCCAATAGGACACCTTTTTAACACTTTAATACGAGTAATTCATTTAAACAAACAAGAAACGCAGAGACTTACGAATTGATCTGATAGTCCTTTTTTCACTCTTTGAAGTTAGGTGGGTGAAAAGCTATCCCGCCTTTTGCTTAGCTGTACTATTTGAAAAAGTACAATAAGTGAAATAAAAAATGTATACAAAAACGCGTTAGCAAATTGACACTGTTCTTCTGTGCAGCTTGAATTTTGTTTTTCTTCTATAATCGTGTACCTCGAAGAGTTAAGGACGAAGCTCACCGATAATGAGGCATTCTATTACGAATATTTTGAAACTAATATATCAAGCGAATCTTCGTGAAACCTACATGGTCTTTTATTGGATATTTCGTGATGACAAATAAAATGCGAGGATTATAAAGCCTTCAATTTTGGTCTTAAATAAAAAATCTAAAACAATGTCACATTATCGGAGTCCTGAACCGAGCTTTCCCGTTAATATCTTCATTTTTGAATTTTTCTTCCTTTAAATTAGTAAAATATTTTTCGTGCTCTGGCAGATATTTGAGGTTCTATATGTTGAACCCATTCGAATAACGTACTTCGCAATTTGCTAAATTACTTGTGCTTTGTTCGTTCATTTATTCTAAAATTATATAATAATTCTTCAAAGGAGTGAACAATGACGTTTAAATGTGAGTCAAAATAACAAGTCTCTCCAAGTAAATTGAATTTATTATGTCAGCGTTACGCACGAGATATTTCTTTCTGTTCTGTACATGTTCCACGAAAATAAAGGACTGCATGGAAATTTTTGAAAAACGTGTCCCACGACACACCTTTCGGGTTCGATCCAATTTCGACGGCTTTCTACGAACAAATTTCATACCGTTTGAAAAAAAACTGTAGCTCGATTCGTATTTTCTGACGTGCGTTCGTTAAACGATTTTCGACAATTTTTCCAAAAGTAATTCATTTCTTGCGAATACACCGAACTCCTTAAACACTTATACAAAGATAAATAAATCTGTCAAAAGACGAACCGCGTCGATTCTATAAAATAAAACGTAGAAAAGAACCGAAACAGTTACGTCTTATTTTTTATTCTCGATATTTTACATATTTTTGCATTCGTGCATACCCTATTACATTTTCCGCAATGTTCATTCGCCATAAATGCATAAACATTCTCGGTCTACCGAAAACCAAGCAGTGGATGCGACGCAAAACGAAACCATTAAAAAAAAAAAAAAAGAACGAAGAAAAAAGAAGTAATTCGACAATTTCATATTTATGCAATTGCTGACCTGGCATCGAGCGGTACATCTGGCACATAATGCAGCTAATTATATATTTCCGATATTTCCAATAGATTATCGGTTATGGATACAGCAGATTGTACAAATGTATCCGTTAGTCGGATACTGTACCGTCTCTTATTGTTCGAAGACACGCAGAGATGTGTACAATAATCGTTTTCAATTCACGGATTTTCCTTGACATTCGTAAAGCCAATAGCCGTGGAACAAAGACGAGCAACGGATATTGCCTTGCTGTTTGGCAGTCCCCCAACAAGCTTTCCTAGATTTTCGCCATTCTGATTTCTCTCTTTTTCTGGGAACACTGGTAGGCTTTTTATCGATGACAAGAAACGAAAACCAATTATGCGATTCGGTTGGCACTGTTATTCAGTAGGGTTACTGCTACTCTTATTCTTCTTAGTAGACCGCGGATTTTACGCATTTATACTACAAGTTATTATGACTAAGTCATGGTAAACATAAGCAAAAAATATATGCACCCATGCAAAAAAAAACTATTACATTATTGTATTAATTAATGGATTATATTTAACGTACGTTATGTATATTTTTTGTATGCTTTTCATATCACTGTACGCCATAAATGCACGAAATCCGCAGTCTAATTATTAGCCGAAAGTATGTCTCAATCATTTCTTCGCAAAAATATTCTACGTGGTATTTAACCGACTGATAGGTGAAGCAATCGTACATAACTTATATATTGTATGTGCACAATTGTACAATTGTACACAAACGTTGAAAAACAGCCCTATGACCAGATTCTGTACGTCTAGTGTTGACTCTTTGCACTCGAGAGGTGACTCTCAGTCACCGTTAGGTTTCACGCAGCAAATCAACAATACCTAATGTTTCTTTAGGTTTAATTTCTTTGGAGCTCGAAGTGTCGATAAAATGATTGTCGGCGAGGTAAAGGTGACCTTATTCTCAAATCTAGATAGCTTAGCATTCATGGCAATAGAATGCTAAGAAATATCTCGAGTTGCTCGTAGATACCAGAAAAAAGGCCTCGAGTGCAAAG